CCGCGTTGCACAGTGCTAGTACAGTCAGACCTCGCTTATCCGGTCCTCGTTTATCCGGATCCCTCGCCATCCGGAAGAAAATTGTTGGTCACCAATTTACAGCAATGCTATGCACACACACAGTATGTGTGTTCGATTATCCGGTTCCCTCGCCTATCCGGATATTTTTGTGGAAAACGGATGTGTGCGGTTAAGCGAGGTCTGACTGTACATGTAAATGTATGCATGGCATGGTGCACTATGCATGGTAGATCTACACATCAGCGCAAGAAGTGTAGATGTACATGGTACATGCACGACACTTGACAGGTCTGAGGAGTCAGTGAGGACCCCAGGCACATGAGTCGTGCTAGAGTAGCATACCTGTACGCAGCGTGCTACACTGACCAAAATGATACATCACATGTATTATGACGTGCATATGGTCATGTGACCCACTGAACCTGGATAAGAAGACCACCTGGCCGCGGCAACCACTTTTTCTCGTCCCTTGAGTGGTCGCCTTAGACAGGTTTCACTTTACTTTGGAGTTCTTAAACAGCTAGATGTAGCTGTCCATAGTTTGAGTACTACAAACGGTGAACCTTGTGCATGCATGTGCAAACGCTGGTTCTGTTTGCTCAGGGTATGCTTGTCTTGATAGCAACAACAAGTTGATGCCAGACTGGGTTTGTTTCAAGCTGCAGCGTGTTGGAGGATTTACACTACCCACGCGACATGAACAATGCAACGCGGACGCCACATGCAGAGAAGGTGAGTCTGCAGTACTGCTGTGGAAACTGTTCCTTTATGATAATAATGCAAAGAAACGTACAAAGACACATATATACACATGCACGCACAACAGATAGACAGATAGACAGACAGGCATGCAGACAGATAGACAAACACATTTATTCCCGTAGCTATGCAGAAGACGTTACTTCAGTAACGTCTGGCGCTAGCCAGGGTCCACACAGCTTTAATTTGGTATTTGTGTGTGTGTTTGTTTGTTTGTTTGTTTGTTTGTGTCACGCCTGGCGCTATCCCGTATCTGTCCCGTATCTGTCCCGTATCTGTGACTACAAAGGCTCTACAGGATTGTACATAACAGCTGTCCACAATATTTGCGGGCTCCTGTATCTGTCCCGTACCGTACCAATATTCGTCGTATTATGCATACGACTCCCTGATGTAGAGTGGGATTTGGAAAGAAATAGGGAGACGAGGAGGAAATTAAATTAGAATAGACGCCGGTTAGGTGATAGGATGCGTCAGCATAAACATACTTTGGAAGAGAGATCCCGTCATCTCCAAAATAAGCGTGAACGAGCGATTCAGTGCAGGTCACAGGAAACGTCGGAAGAGAGATCCCGTCGACTCCAGAATGCCCGTGATCGGTAGAGTCCGGCGGTACCAGGCAACGTCAGGACAGACATCCCGTTGAGTCCAGAACGCCCGTAATCGGCAGAGTCTAAGCCGGTCCCAGGAAACGTCAGGACAGACATCCCGTCGAGTCCAGAACGCCCGTGATCGGCAGAGTCAGCGCCGGTCCCAGGAAACGTCAGGACAGACATCCCGTCGACGCGCAGAAAAACTAAATCTGCAGCCTCTTTTGCCGTCGAACAGGATACGTATTTATATAGGAGACTGTAAAGTTATGTAATGTCCAAATTTCGACGTGAGCAGCAGGTCACTCGCGTTGATTTTTTCGACATGCGAGCCAAATAACGCGAACTGAACTTTCGCGTCGCAGACATCCCGTCGACGCGCAGAAAAACTAAATCTGCAGCCTCTTTTGCCGTCGGACAGGATACGTATTTTAGGAGACTGTAAAGTTATGTAATGTGCTCCACAGGCAACCATGCATTCGGCGTCGTCATTGGCTCAACAGGTCAATGTACATGTATTACTACAAAAAGGCCAGAAAATCCGATTCCTGTATTAAAATCAACTAATGTTCGCTGGCGATTTAATTTCGCTGATTTCGCCGCTTGGTACCAACCGGCCAAAGTAAATCGCAGGCCAACGTTTGTCATATAGGCAAATGATGCATGATTGAGCAATGGATGCATGTGAGAGCAAAAATACCGATCGATTTCAAATTTGACGTGAAACTGCGCGCCACGTCGGAAATAACGTGCATCTTAACCTCTCTAATCGAGAGGTTTCTATTTCTCATCGGCCAAAATGTGTTGATTTACAATATAAGGAGATAAAAATTAAAGAAGGAGCAAAACAAAAGTAGATGATTATTAGAGAAACAACAATCCGCAATACATTCTGCAAATACTTTTGCCTAACTCATAATATTCAAACCGATTGAAACGTTTTTGCAATACAGTGATGTGGCCAATCAACGGAAACAGACAATTCCATCAGTTCTTATAACATGTACGATGAGCTAGGCAAAAAAGCATAAAAGCATAGCGTAGGGCCCTGAGCTTCCAAGCTCTCTCGTTTTATTTTATTTACCGTCTCCACTTCATGGCACACAATAATTCATAGCCAATACAAGAAAAGGAGGGTGAATCCAACCACGGAAAATAGCGATGCACACACACACACACACACACACACACACATGCACACACACACACACACACATGCACACACACACACACACACACACACACACACACACACACACACACACACACACACACACACACACACACACACACACACACACACACACACACACACACACACACACACACAAACACGCACAGACATGCGCACGCATGTACACACACACACACACACACACACACACACACACACACACACACACACACACACACATGCACGCACACACAAACAAACACACACACACACGCACACATACACACACACACACACACACCGAGGGGTGTGCAGAAGAAGCAAGCCTCTACTGTATGAACAAAAGTTGGGGGCAGTTCAGACATCTACAAATTCACAAACCGTCCGGAACTTACGGCTGTGCTGAGCATGGAGCATGCACGCACGCACGCACGCGGGTGCGCACCCGCGCACCCAGACACGCAGACACAGACACACACACCATTGGACGCGCAATGCTACAGCAGAAACCATAGCAACTTGTGCTGGGATTGCACCATTCAACAGCTTGCAAGGCTGAAGAATTGGCCACCACTATTCAGCCTGGTCTACACCACACAGCTATGAAGTGGCTTTTTCTGGCCAGTGAATCCCTCCTTTTTGGTCTTTTTTATTATTTTTCCCGCACACACATCACACCACATACTCCGGCATGCACTGGCTGTTGGTAACCACCCAGAAGAATGAAAGAAAAATCAGGAAGAGTCTGAGAGAAGAAAGACGTGTGTGACCATAATCGTCGGGAATCGAACCCGCAACCTATCGATTGGAAACCGCTGCACATACCACTGCACCATATGGGACACACACACACACACAAACACACACACACAGACACAGGCAGACACACAGACAGACACAGACACACACAGACACACACAGACACAGATACACACAGACACACAAACACACACACAGACAGACACACACACACACTACTACTACTACTATGATACAGCTACCCTAAACGGGTCACGCCGCCCTCCACCCAAGCATGAGCACTATGAGGGGCAGTGGCAAATAAAGAGAATCAGCTAGCAGAACTGGCAAAACAGATGAAACAATGGAGCAGAACGGACGACTGCTGTACAATCATGTTCGAGTACTGTAACAACAACCTGACAGCTACAGTCACAACAACTGAAAATGAACAGGAAAGAAAATAATTCAAAATTTCACGCCACGAAAAAACACTGTCCACGAAAGAATCCACCAAGCAAAAGGAGTGTGGGCATCCGAAATCCCACCAGGACTCCACTAGCAGTTCTTCCACGTTGACGATGTAAGCGGCAGGGCAATGCCTCACAAATCCGACAGACTTCCGCAACGCTTGACCAGTGCACTCATGACGACGAAAGATTGAAGTCTCAATTCCCACCATTCCGCCATTGCGACCTTCCTCTCCGCACTCGCTCGTCCACTCCACTGAAACAACGACTTGTTCCAGCACTCCACCAGCCAATCCGCAATTCCCACCACTGCATTCTTCGAGCTTGGATTCTTCACAGCACTCGAGGGATAGCTACTCCACTGCGAGTGGTGGACCACGGCCGACGCAGCAGTGACAATATCGAAGTAAATTGTCCTGCAAGCTACATCGCGATTCCGCGCTCCAATCATGCAGCACTACCTTGGCAGTGTGCGAGGGTGCTCCAGGGTCGACTCTGGCTACGCCAGAGTCGCCCTGGGCAGGCAGAAAAACTTTGGAGAAAGCCAAGAACACGGAGCTCAGAAAGTGTTACCTGCTCCCAAGGAGCACACACACACACACACACACACTTCAGTATACTCTAGGACAGCATGTTCAGCCATCGCAGGTACCAGTACTCTGTCTTTCAATGAATAGAACACGTCAGTTATCGTTCTAAATATTGATATTTGAAAAGGTTAAAATCTAGAGCAATAAATCGCCGTGTTCTACTAATTAATAAAAGGCACCAAGGGCGACAAAGTGGTAAGGTGACAATACGATGCTTTGACCCTACTATGTAGAATTCTGCATGTGGCAGTACGACTCTAGACTCGGACGTTGGGCACAGAATTTAATACTTAGGCCACCTAGAATTAAAGGGGAAGTTAAGGCAAAAATTAAAATTTTACCAGTTGTAGTCTTCGGGGTGCTGAGTCGAATGGTCGTGGTCCGAGGATGCTGAGACGCTCCCTTCCTACTTGAATCCCAATCGAACTCGCGCACTTCCACCGAAACTGGGTGACCGCGCCCTACGAGATGGGGATTTGTATGCAAAATGTCACTAAAAGCGCCATTTCGTTCTTATAAAAGCACGGATGACCGCGATTGGCCCATATGTTGTAGTCTTTTGGACGCTGAGTCGACTGGTTTTGGTCCGAAAAGGCTGCGATGCAGTGTTCCGCCTTTATTCCCAATCGAACATGGTTGAACAAGCGGTCACGTGCTC